CATAGGGAGGTACTCTGCAAACTCTCTAATCAATGATGGGACGACCAATCAAAGGCTGCCGTCGGAGGCTTGAATTCAGATGGTCTCTGTCGAAATTCATAAATTCCATGCCTCGGACTAGACAAATATCGGTCTTGTGATCTACCACGCGTGTTTGAACTGTGGGGGCCTTTATAATAAATCTTGATATTTATCCATCCGATAAGAGCATTGGAGGGCGTGTATCGTACATGCTTCCTGATTAACAATTTTGTTAATATTAAAAATAAATTTTAAAAAATAAAATAAATTATTTTAATGTATTTATAAATAAAAATATTCTGAAAAAAAATGATATCAAGATACTAAACAAGCTATTTAAATAAAATGGGAGAAATCTTTTTTTAAAAAAATAAATAAAGAAATTCCATGATAGGTGGCAGTGGTAAATTCGAAAGTATCAAACTGGAAGGGCACATTTCCTTTTACAATGGCAACGTTGAAATTTGTCAAAATATTCCTACGCATTGTTTTTACTATCTTTTTAGATTTGTAGCGGCGGATAAACAAGGGGGGCAACTAATTTGCTACAACCAATAAGGTGTCAGGGAAGCCACCATATTTATCGGACCATGAAATACAGGGTACAAATCAGAGCAGCCTCTTCTACCCAGGCGCGCAGATGTGGCCTTTTTATTAAGACTCGGCCTCGTAAGTCCAGCAACGCCTGGTCCGTCATTTCAAGCACAAAATCATCTGCGCTTATTTTTGTTTGCCTTCTTCGATTTTTTTTAAATATTTTAAAATGAAATTATTTTCAAATAAAAAATTACAATAGTATTTTAAAAATTACATGATGATGCCATACTAAGATTAGAAATTTATTGCAGTGTTAGTAATTACTTTATAAATAATTATATATGTACTTAATATGTATAATTTTATTTAAAAATTCTCATGAATATAATAAAATATGTACTCTATGCAGCTTATATATATATGTGAAAAAAATACATGAAAATATCAATGAGTTTTAATTGAAAAGATTCTTTACTAGAAAATCATAAATATAAAATTTTTTGTTCGACACTATTGAGTCTTTGTAATTTTTTGAAGAAAAAAATTTATTTTCATGTCAAAGACATGTTCTTGTTTATTTTATTTCATCGTGAAGACAATTTTATGTTTATATATTATGATGATCATCCCACATAAATCAAGTAAAATGGCTTATCCACGCACACCGCTTGTTTTTAATAAAAAGTTTTAAAATTAAATAAAATCTGTTTATTAACTAAAATAAAAACCGCCGTGGATAATTAAACTAGTTTTGTCTTTTTAGGACCGTAATTTCCATTAGAAAGGTAGAATCTAAAAATAAAAATAACTAATTTCTTAAATAATTTATGATTTTCGTTGATTTTTTTTTCATTTTAAATAAAAATTACAGAATAATCAAGTCGAGGGTCTAGTGCAGCTGGTCAATAAAATTATTAATTTAAAAAAGTTTAGATATTTTTTATTGAATATTATAAATTCGAGAGATTAAAAACGTTGGAGGACAAATAAATGTATAAATAATTACAGCACTAACTTTTTTCAAAAGAAAGAGTGAAATAAAAAAGGGGAGCAAAGTACTAGCAAACTACAGGCAGTCACTGAGACTTTACAGTTTGCAATTGAATTGCGTAAATTCAAACGCCAGAAGAGAAGAAAAAGAAAAGGAAAAAAAAAAAAAAAAGGACCCGCAGAGAAATAATGATGGACTATTTCGGTATCTCCCACCCGAACATAGATAGATTGTAGATAGCACAAGCAGTGTCCGATGATTATGATTTTGCTAATAATTCCCCCACCGCATGCGACTCTTCCTGCTACCTCACGGCGGTGCCATTTCTCGATCTCAAAGCTGGCAAAGGGTAACATTTCTTTCCTTCTTTTTTTCTTGTGAAGTAATTAGTTTGATCTTGATTTTGCGATATGGAAATTGATGGATGAGTGTAATTTATTTTGAAAAACCTTTCTACATAGCAACTCATGACTAAAAAGGAATAAGGCAAAAGAAAAGGCTTAAAAATATAAAAAATTAGGATAAAAAATTTAAACAAATATTTTCTGTTGTTTTTTTTATTATATATCTAAAGTATTTGTAGATCTGACACCGTATTAGATCCAATCTTTTTGAACTCAGTTATGTTTCAAAGTTGAGTGTTTTCAGGTTTGACATCTCATTAAACTCAATTTTTTTAAACTTGGCTATGCATGAATTCCAAGTGTTTATAAGTTTGATATCTTACTAAACCTAATTTTTTTAAACTTGGCTATATATTAGACCCAAGAGTTTATGAGTCTCATATCTTGTCAGATCCAATCCCCTATGAATCATGTTTTTCTTCACGAGCAAGTGTTCAAAGTAAGAATTCATAGTCATCATCTCCTTACTCCCTAGTAAATTAAAACATCTTTTAAAAAACTTTCCCTGCTTCAAATTGATATTAATGTTGATAATAAAAAATAATTGATATTAATATTATATACAAATTGATATATAATCATCTTTTATAACCACATGATATCCTCAATATTAAATATCAGCTAAAAAAATACTAAATATTAATATTAATATCGATTATAATGGTCTTTTCCCTACTTGAATAAAGAAAAAGACTTACAACCACTTGAATAAGAAAAAATTATAAAAAATTTTGAACAACCCAAGAGAGGGTTTACAATCTTAAGTATCTCAAAATTTGTTCTCAACATTTATAATATATAAAACAAAAATTAAGTATTTTATTTTTAGAATTTAATGCTAATTTATTATAAATCTGTCATAAAATCACTGATTTAATAATTAGAGCATTTTTAAAATCCTAAAAAAACTATTTTTGTGAAAAATGTAGTTTTTATTACTGATATCTGAAATCCTTAAATAAAAAGAAATTAATATAAACTTATAATCATCCATCATATTAGCCACCATACAAACGTGACAAAAAGAAGCACCATGAGAAATGATGAAAATGGCTTTTGTGGGATGAGTGGATTAGTGGAAGTGGAGCAAAAGTGCATGATTGCGAGCTGGATCAATACGGAGCTGTCAACTATGCTGTTTATGCCATTAATTATCAACGTGGCAGATACTTATAAATCATCATCTTTTCTTGAACCCAGATGGACGAGAGAGGAAAATTGGAATGAAAAAATTGTAAATTCATTATGCATGATCAGCAATTTTATTTATTTATTTGTAAGAAATTGGAATGAATCTTAATCAGGTCGTCATGGGCTTCTGGAGAGGATTGGTATCGGGGCTGAGGCTCGCACTGGATATGCATTGGCACTGTCAAATTCTTAGCCTGCTAAGAGTATGTCATCGCTTTTTTATCTCTATCAACTACGTCAATCTTTTGTGTGTTTTGCTCTGTTTATTTGGCAACCCTCCGAATTCAAATGCCAAACTTTATCTTTTTTCTAACAAACTTGATGAGGGACCAGGCGAGGAACACTGGTGAATGTAGTTAGTTCAGCTGTTCCTGAAAAGAAAAATGATTTGTTAGTGGAAAAAGGATTTTAAACTTGAAATTTAACTCAATTTAATAATTTAAATTGTTAGTTAAGGTACAAAATATGATTTATATTATTATTTAAAATATTTTTTCAAGTGAAAATTCTTTGAATTTGAAATTTGTACATATTCATCTTACTTTGTATTTAATTTTTATCAAATAAAAAAATAATAAAATTTAAATTCATAACTGTTTAGTTATCAAAACTCTAATTTCATAACAAGATTTTAAAAATAGCTGTAATTTTTCTATGATATAGAGATAATTGATTCTCATTATATATTATATGTACAACAGTTAACAAATCCTATATAATAGAAATAAATAAAACATATATATATAGTAATTTATCTAAAATAAAGGAGTAGAATCAGATTTCTTATCACTTATTATCTTAGTTCACCTTGAAGAGAATGCAAGCAATTCCTAGTCTTTCATTTCTGATTGTGTTAGCTCACATTTTTAGGCTCCCCCGCCCAGCCCCTCAGTTTTATAGGAAGAAACGATATCAAAGGAACTCTTATTTTTGTAGTCAATTCTACTGCTAGAACACACCAACATTCCTCTGGAGCTCGAAATTAAGGACATTTGAGATTTGACTCCCATGTTGTTAATTTTTTGGGGGTATTAAACTGGCCCTTGTTTTGTTCCTGGAAATGGGAAAGTGGTATCATGGATCTCAGCGGTCCATCCAAGCACGCATGTGGTGAGGATACATGGTGCGAGATGTTCCGAAGGAGTCCAAATTTAGAATGGTTGGGCCTTCATTCTTATTCTAAACCCATTATTGGAATGGAGGATAAATTTGGATTGGATCTCGAAAGAGCCGTCCAGCTCTATCTGCTACTCTTCCCAAGTTACATGCCAAAATTCCTGCGTTTTCTTTCCTTTTGGATAGAAATGGTGACGATGCAGAAACATCCAGGCTTCAACCTAATGTCTCCCTCATACCTCGACAAGTATCACAGTCGTGCACGCCTTCCAATCTCTCCAGAGCCTTCCGCTTTTATTACATCATAATCCGAACCCAAATAATTTATTTACATCATAATCTGAACTCAATTTTAGATTGTTTATTTTTTTTCTTGAAATTGTTTTAAGAACATGTTTAATATAAAAAAAATATCAAATTAGTATTTTAAATAATTTTTATGTGATAATATTAAAATATTTTTTGAATAAAAATATTTTTAAAAATAATTCCAATTCAAAACACATGCATTTCAATGGGACAAATCTCTCTGCAAACACGTGTTTGGTTTGACTGTCTGGTAACAAAACTACATTCAACAACAGTTCTCCAAATTGAATTTATTTCTTTTAAATAAGGAGTTGAGTTCAAGCTTTACATATAAAGTCGATCTCTACTGGAAGAGTTTTATTTTTTAACGGATTGATTTGGCTGGACCATAATCACCCTGTTCTTTAATTTACCATAATCACACTTACAAGAATGAGAGCGAAAGTATTATAGCACTCGATGGTGATCAGCATATTCATCTTTATTAATCAGAGGATCTTAGTTAGAGATTTCTATCCTGTTTATTTTTATATTTAAAAAGTATTTAAAAATTTTAATTTTAATTAATAATTTTTTATATTTAGATTTACTAATATTAAAAATAATTTTTTTAAAATAAAAATATTATTTTAATATATTTTTAAATAAAAAATACTTTTATAAAAAACTTCAGTTATACTTATGACTCAGAAACTTAACCCGTAGCAGTTAATAAAGCGAAAGCTAGAGCGGTGTATTGATATTATAGAAAAATGGAAGAGGGAAAGTGTGCTGAAAAGAAGAAGGTGATGCTGGCTATAGATGAGAGTGAGAATAGCCACTACGCTCTTGAATGGGCGCTTGATAAGCTACGAGAGACCATCTCTGACTCTGATGTATTCATCTTCACTGCACAGCCTAATTCTGATCTGGGTTATGTCTATGCTTCCACTCTAGGCGTTCCTCGTAAGTTCTTCTCAATTCCTTGGTTAGCGTTCATTTATTTTAGTCACAATTTTATAAATAAAAAAAAGTCGATTTTTTCTTTCAAGAAAAGTTTAAACTGTACGATAATTCAGAGTAGCTCTTTCTTTTTCTTTTTTCTTTATTTATTTTGGTTGCAGCTGTGGATTTGATCACATCTATACAAGAAAATCACAAGAAGGTTGCATCATGTCTATTGGATAAAGCTAAAGATATTTGTGCCAAATATGGGGTAATGGTTTCCATCATTGTATCAAACTGCTCCTTCTTAAATTATTCAGTTTGTGCATGTAGTTATTCAGTTCTGTGATTGTAGAATGAAAATTTTTATTGTTATTGCATGTAATCCACATAACATGTCGAGTGATTTCCTCTGATGGCTTTCCCCTTCCTTAAAAGTCATAGGTGCTATAAACGAGATTTTCCATTTTATTTGATCATGATGTTTTTGACTTGTATATAAGCATAACGCATATGTGAAAATACTTTCTTACAAAATCTGACTGGAAAAGGAATAAAAAAGGGAGTGGGTAAATTGAAGCCCCAGTCCTTGAGAAATAAATTGCAGTTCCTTCACAAAAACTAAATGCATTGAAGTACAAGCAGGTTCCACATAAATAGTTTTGCATGTTGTTGTAAGCAAAAATAGTAATGCTCTTTTATTTTCCTAAAGATTGTTGCAGAGACAGTAACGGAGATTGGGGATCCTAAATATGCAATTTGCGAAGCTGTAGAAAAGCTCAACATCGAACTACTTGTTTTAGGCAGCCATAATCGGGGACCTGTGCAGAGGTTAGTCTTTACTTGAAATGTTATATGGAATCCTCCTTATTCATCAGTCTAAAGTTATAAGAAAATAGAGAAAAAGGACAGAGAAAATAGCATGTCATGCTGGCATTTCAGAATGCAATTGGTTGGAGAACGAGTCGCCTGTTTTTAACCTGGAGATAAATCAACTATGTGTATGGTTGTGCTATTGTATGCAAACATGGGTGCCTCTGAACTGTGCTTCTAGATAGACTAAAACTTACAAATTACTGAGTTTAACTCGAGTTTTCCGGACAGGGCTTTTCTGGGCAGTGTGAGCAACTACTGTGTGCACAACGCCAAGTGCCCTGTTCTTGTTGTGAAGAAACCTGCAGTTTGAGGAGCTCGCCGTCGTAATGCTGCTATCATGTGAAGCAGAAAGCTGAGTTCTGGATATGAGGAGACCAGCAAGTCAGAGTTATTTGTCAAAACAAACAGCATGTCAAGTTAAAATGTCAAGATGTTTGGAATTTTGAGATTTAGGTCTCTTTTCAAAAGGCATTGTGTTTGTAAATTGTTAGACAAGATAAATACTCCCCAAGCTAGCTTGACTCTGTTAACATGGGTTATCTTCAGCTCTATTATTTCAGATCATTCTCAGATATGATTTGAGCCTTGCAATAGTACATTTCCATAACTAGCACATAGAAAAGAAAAGGAAAAGGAGAGAGAAGAAACTTTTGGTAAATTGTGCTTTGCTTACTCGTGTTAGCTGCTTGCCATCTCTCTCAATGGGCGTTCCAATGACATTCGCCAAAGTGTCCTCCAGTGAACATTAGTAGCCTCAACTTAGTGTTGCTCAGAATTTAAAAAACATCCATTGCTGGCTAAATGCTTTTAAGATGCTTTCCTCATTAGTTTGCAAGCAATTAGTAAAAACAATTACTATTATTTTTGACCTTTTTCATTCCTTGCTCCACTTGACCATGTTTTCTTCTCATACTGCATGTGAAGTCCAGTCCTCTTATCTTTCAAATACATCCGATCAAATGTTTAGAATATTACTAACGCTAAAGTTTTATAGCACATCAGTCAACCTATCGTCGAAAGAGGAAGAAATTACCAACAAATTCTGTTCGGGCAACGGAAAACCTTGTACTGTCAAGCACATACTGGTAGATACAAAAGGTTTTTGATAACCATGACTCTTTTCCGTCAAGACGACCTTTTTATCAAGGAGAAACAAGAACAAACAAAAAATGAGAAGAAAAAGAATTTGCTACAAGTACATGAGGCAAAGAAAAAGCTGTAATTTGCTGTGTGACTAATCCACCAGAAAAATTAATGGCTGGGGTCACAATAATCCCTTTTTTGTTCATTCATTTCTGTTATGGTTATACAACTAACTGGGAAATTTCTGCTAAGTAACTCTACAAAAGAGCAATTAAATTTCTTGCTGTCAACTCTACCAGTTGAAAGAAGTAGATGTTAGGAAAAGGAGACTTCATAGACCAATGCATCAGGTCTCTATCATTCTATACCAGGTAAAACTATCACATCTCACCAAAAATAAACACAGTGCGTATCAAGTTACCCCTTTCCTTTTCATGAATGAAAGGTTTTCATTAATCAAAAGCAACCAAAGAAGGAGCTTACCTTCCTGCTTACAATTACAAACGATTTTGTAAAGAAAAGTAAAATTTACAATGAGGAAAAGTTCCAATTCCTACGTCAAGTTACCTTCCCAGAGCAGAAGTAATCTTTTCATACACCGCAAAATAGATCAGACAGCAAGAAAAGCTTTTGCAATCTTCGTGACCAATTTGGGACGACACTAAGTGGAAATATAGTAAAAGCAAATTCCCTTTTCAAGTAGGAACGTCCTAGAAAAGGCTCCCAATTCTAATCTGAGCATCATTATTGAGACTCTTGGCTTCTATTACCTAGGCTCGAGTTTTCACTCCACACTGAAAAGGGCAAACCACCCTGAAGCAACAAAAAATTGACTATTGTTACTCTAAAGCACATTACTTTGGAAAAGAAAGAACTCCTGGTTACTTATAGAGGAAAGCTTACTGTAGAGGTATAACAAATGGCTCAACTAACACACTCTTGAATTCAAAACAATGGCCAGTACATGTGAAGACTTTCAATGATATAAATAGGTGAAGTTTCATATCACATGACATTTATGTACCAACTACATTTTATTGAAGTTAAAGACTTTGGTTTTGCATCATCTGCGTGACAATGAATAAAGGAAATGGAAGGGCTAATATGAAGGTGATGGTGGTCATAGATGAAAGTGAGTGCAGTTATCGTGCTCTCATGTGGGTGCTCGACAATCTCAAAGAATCGATCAAGAACTTACCGCTTGTCATATTCGCAGCGCAGCCACCTCCAAAGTGTAATTATGTAGCCTCTTCAGCATTTGGTCTCGCTTGCATATGTCCACTCTCAGCCAGTTGAGTATTCCTCCTATCCATTTCGCTAGAACATAAGTGTTCGTGCTGTACATGTTACTGCATGTTATTCAGGATTTCCTGGTTTCTAGTTCTGCTCAATTAATCTTGGATTTCGTATGATACATCATTCTTAACTAGATTCTGCAGGTTGGCAGGTGGGAATTGTGTTCCTTTGTCTATATTTAAGGACTTGAGTTTAAGCCTTTATTGCTTCTTTTTCCCCCCCAAGAAAAGCTAATGGAAATTGTTTAACTATGCACGTAATCTCAAAAACAAATTGTGTTTCCAAATGCCTTTCCTTTTCTTTTCGGAACGGGAAGCCTGCTACACTCATATCTTTTGATTCATTATTCTCTTGTGAACTTCTCGTATTGAGAGTCATACTAGAGACACTAAACTAATAGAATGTATACACGAAATTGATTGTCATTAGTTTATACTTTTGAATGACAGCCATGGATCTATTTAACTCTGTTCAACAACAAAATAAGAAGGTGGCATTGGGTATTCTGGAGAAGGCTAAGAGAATATGTGCAAGTAAAGGGGTATGTCCATAATAATTAGTGAAGCACTTTGCTGAAGCCTCTGTTCACTCGGTAGTCATTTACCAGTCTACTTTTCCATCTGCGACACATGAAGGCCCATGGAATTATCCAAATGAAAAGGAAAGATGTTAAAGAAAATTGAGTTTCTTAACTTTATCCTTGAGATCTCCAGGACAAAGCCGTCAAATATGGAAAAACTAGAAAGTAATTTTAAGCTAGGTTTGAAAAAAGCAAGCTGTAGTGGACCTTTCAGAAAAATCTTAGGTGATTCATGTTTCTGGGAATTTGATGCTTCACATCTTCTGCTTAGGTTAAACAGTCCCTGTATCTCAAGATAGAAGTATTCTATAGACTCATTCGTATCATCGTAATGTACTACTTAAACTGTTGCTTTGACTCTGATGTTGATAGAGTCTAGTTTGTTGTGACAAACCGTATGGTGGGTGGGTCCTAAAATTTCTTCGAGTCCACGACCTTTATTCGGAAAGCATTTTATTTATGAAAATGAGGCCAATAGGTAGCAAGGTTTTGCCCAAAAATTGAGTACAACTGCTTGCACTTTTCCTCCCCCACCCCGCACTCTCCGGGTGTCTCAATTATATGTGTTTCTTTTTGACAATATTAGCTTAAATGATATGATGTCGCAGCTAGGAACTAGGTAAAAATAAAAGTGGGCTGGTAAATTTTAAGATCATTCATATTCTGCATACCGCTTTCTCCATGGACTTGATGATGGATGGCACTGATTTTTACCAGTTTTCTCTGACTACATATATATATAGGGATCGTCACTATCTTGTCTTCTCAGGTAATTGTGGAGGCAATTACTGAGGCGGGTTATCCTAAAGAGGTCATATGCGACGCAGTTCAGAAGTGTGGTGTCAATTTACTTGTCATTGGCGACGAGGCAGATGGAAATATCAAGAGGTTGGTTTCCTATCTTTCTTATTTTTGCTAGCGATCTGATGGTGACAGAAGCAGACATGGAACAGCTACTCTACTGCAAGCATTTAGCTGTGAAGACCTCGTAAAAATAAATCACGTAGGGGTCAATAAGTTAAAGGATTTTATTGACAGAATTTCTATATGCTCATGTAGAGTGGTTTCATTGCATTATCTGGCATTGATGCAAGTTATTTCCTATAGGGCTTTGCTGGGAAGTGTCAGCAGTTACTGCGTTCAGAATGCCAAGTGCCAGGTTCTTCTTGTGAGAAACAAGGCCTGAGGAGATTTGACTGTTTAATAGATGTACACGGCTGATTTAGCTTCTGTTCTATGATTTGTATTCTACTAGCCACGAAGTTGTATACATCACGCCTTATCCTTGCTGTGGAACTGTTGCCCAAAAATAAGGTTGATATTATTAGTCGATCGACTGCTGTAGCATTATTCATCGTGTTTATGCAGGCAGGTGCGTGCTTGGAAAGGCAAGGAACCAAAAAGGGAAATCGTTATTGTTGAATTGCTAAATCTATTAAATTAAGCTATTGGAAACAGCGTAATCTAAGATGTTCGCAGCATCGGAACTCATCAGATGTGTTATTTTCTTTAAAAAGAATTAGAATGTGCTATTTTCCCAACAAAATGAAAGTGCTATTCTGGGGGGGAAAATCATCTCTAATTCTTCCCTTCTTCAATACGAGGCATGATTATCAACGGAGTCACATGCACATCAAAGAAGAATAACCTTTTTCACTATATAATATTAGTCATTAGAAGTGGGTTTGTCACGCTCTATTTGCCCTACCAATCACTTTATTAAAATTAATTCAAAAATAATTATATAAATAGTTTTATTAATCAGATTTAAGATTTATTTTTAAATAATTATAAATAAATAAAAGTTTATATAATTATTAATTTCAGAATTCATTATATTAATTAAAAAATACATAAATTGATCCGCTAAAAAAAATAACTAATTCAGAAGTTTCTCTGGAAAATCACATGCCATGCCATGATATATATATATATAGGTCATGCCATAATATATAGGTGTGACTTGGACGGGCAAATCGACAATGACTTCTCCTTCTCCGTTAAGGTCGGGCAAATTTTATTTTCGAAGTTACAGGAAAATCTTGACACCAAGTGATGATGATTAGGCTCAACGCCACTAAATCAATTATGAAAGCAAAATAATATTCTAATTTCTTGGCTGCTGATATTAATTTCATCAAACACTTAATAAATTGCATCATAAAGTGAGATTTCATTTAGAATATTAATTAGAAAACTTATACTCAATTATTACTAAATTATATTTATTTAATATTCACATGACAACCTTTTAATTCCCTAAATATCAAAATACATGGGAAAATCTACTTAAAAATTAAGATACTATTTTTCAATTTAATTGGATAGAATACACGACTTGTCATATTAACAAGGGAGAGTCTCTCAACTTGATGGGTAAAAACAAAAGGAGATTATATTGATGAGATTTATTATTATTATTATTGTCGCCGTCGCCGTCGTCGTTGAAGATCACGAATTCTTGGTTCTCTGTTAAAATGGAGAAGACGAACAAGCACCACAAAATGTCTAGATAAGCATACAGTATCGTATATCAACGGCCCTCTTATGTGTCACAAGAAAAAGAGAATGAGAGGCTGGTGAGTGGCGGTGATTGATTAAGTGGGACCCGCACA